ATGAAGGGATTTTTCTTTACCATGGAAAGGATCTTATGATAATCCGCCACGTTTGTCTTCAGTGTACGTCCAGGCCTTACTTTGTTGCAGCACTCACCATAGTGTTATTTTTTTTTCTCACAATGTACCAAACTGTTGTTTGGGCACTCCTAATGTTCCTGCTATCTCTCTGATGGATTCCTTCCTTCCTTCCTTTCCCTCTCCCTCCCTCCCTCTCCCTCTCTTTCTTTCTTTCTTTCTTTCTTTCTTTCTTTCTTTCTTTCTTTCTTTTGCAGCCTAAAGATGACTTCTTCCTCTTGCAGTGCAGTGCACTACACTTGCATTGAGAGCTCTTTTGAACACATGCTGTGGGATCATAGCAACAGCTCCCAAATGCAAATGTCACACCTAGAATCAGCTCTAGACCTTTTACCTGCTTAATTGATAATGAAATAACAAAGAAATAGCCCCCACCTATCCATGAAACAGCTTTTGAGTCAATTGTCTAATATTATCATTTCCGAGCAGTATGTAATATGTGCAGCCAGAATGTGTTATTAAAGTTGTGTAGTACCACTTATTCTCAAAGCTTTTGTACACAGAAATCATTTTTCAGTGTCATAAAGAGAATTATGACGTTATATGTATTATTGAGCCTTTGTTGTCCATCTGTACTCCCTCTTTTTCTGTCTTGTAATTTTATTTGGCTAAACAGGTTTTTCTGTTTTCGTGTGATTCAACAGCTCAGCAGAATGGATATTTTCCAGCATCTTTCTATTGAATCTTAAAGCCTTTGGAAAGCTATGTAAATGGCCAAAGAAACTCTTAAGTACACACTTACTTGCATACAATTTAGTGACACACTGGCCCAAAAATAACTAAGCACATCCTTCTTAATGTACACATGATTAGATGACTTCTTGAGGTAGTCATGCACCTTTGAAAGCCCCACATGGTGAGTTTTCATTGAGTTGGACTGTAAGACTTTAGGCTGCTGAAAAGTAGGAACTCAGCCTTCTTTCCTCCCCACGATCCCTTCAAATAGAAAAAGATGTGTCAGAAAGAGGGCAAGGTTAGAACTATTTTGCTCTACATACTAAATGTATATGTGAAGGGTTTTTGTTTTATATGGGGAAATATTCAATCACAGGAACCTTTACCTCCAATCTGAAGTAGTGTACTATGGATACAGATTGGCTTCCTCAGTGAAAGATGAACCAAAATGAAATTGGTAGAAAAGAACATTATTAACAGCTAGTGAAGCATTTTTAGTTTCCCTCATTTGAGTTTAATGGCTACCAAAGGTATAGGCAACTATTCGGGGGAAAAACCCTTGTCTTTTTAGGTAAGCAAAATATTGTGCATGCATATATCTTTGCTAGGGATGGGAATGTCCAGCCCTTTCTGTGTAATCTGCAAAATAGTAATAATGAAAAAACAGAACCTGTTTTGGGGGACTTCTGCTATCCAAATGTTCGCATCTGAGGAAAACGTGCATTAGTTCCTGGTTATTATCTGCTATTATATTATTATATTATTACGTACTAAAAATGTACATGTTACTTGTTTTATTATAAAGCTTGTGTTCTTCTTTGGTGAAGAAAACAGAACCAGACAGTGACGGGGTTTAAAAACTTGCTTTTGTCATTGTTATACCTACACAGCATATACATTGTTTTCCTCCCACTGACTAGCTTCCCCCACGCTCCCAGTGCTG